GCCCCGTGTGCTGCCGCCCTCCCGGCTGCTGGGAGTTTGCGGTCCCTGGCTCCCGGAGGGAGCTCTGGGAGGCTCCCGGGCTCTTCTGAAACAATCCCTAACTGCTGTCCCCGCGTGGGGATAAGTCGGGATCCCCAAGGGGAACGGCTTTCCAATCCCGCCCCCACTCGCTAGCGCAGGGAGAGGTGTGCATAGGGATGGGTGACGGCGGGGATACTTCATGACTTTGGGTGGGAATATCCCGAGGGGTCCCACGGTGCTTTTCTGAGCCTTGGCTGCAGTTTCTGGGTGCCAGCACCCGTGGCGTCTCACGAGTGTCAGGCTGGTGGTCGTTTATGAGCCGTGCTCCAGGTGTGGTGATTACCAAGTGGTGCAGATGCAGCCTCAGCATCAGTACTGGGGGGAGAAAAGGGGTCCCAGGCGTCAAAACTTCTGCTGTATTTGGGTAGATATCTCCCGGGAGCCCATTTCCCCAGGCAGAACTTTCTGTCCTTCCTCCGAAGTCAGAATCATCATAGAATCGCAGAATGATTTGGGTTGGAAAGGACCTTAGAGACCATCTAATTTTAACCCCCTGCCACAGACAGGGCTGTCACCCACTGTGTCACTGAGCTGATTCTTCAGCATGTGCCTCGAGGGACATCAAGGGGGCAGTGGGTGCCCTGTGCTCCCCACTGGAGCCGCCACCTCTCATCACACGGAGCAGGCTCAGGAGGGGTCAGTTTATTCAGCTCTGGCTCCCAGGGCCGTGTCTTTTGCTGACCTCCTTTCAGCAGGTCCTCCGGGGGCCTGGGTGACCCCCGTTCTGGGGAGGGCTCTGTGCAGCAGCCTGGCCAGCGCAGCATGCTCCAGCAGGCGCTGCAGAGATCCCCACCCCGTGCGGGTGCTGCGTGGCTCCCCGGGAGTCACTGCAGGCACACAGGGCAGGTGGGGCAGCTCGGGGCCCCTTCTGGCTGCTGGGGGTGTTGGGGAACACCCGCTGCTGCTGTGGCACAGGTTGGGTGTTCCAGCTTTCCAGGCCTGGGCGGTTCATGCTGCCTATCCTCGGGAGAGCTGAGAGCGTCGGAGCATCACAAGGGATGCGGTACCAGGCAGCGGGTGGTCCTGGTGGTTCTGGGTGGGCTGGCAGGGGCACAGGGATCCCCCAGCGTTGAGGGGATGCTCAGCAGCCCCTGCTGCAGACTGTAAGGAAGCAAACTGGGGATGGAGAACCCTTGGCAAGGTGAAGCTCATCAAAATCTCCATGACCTGGTCCGTGCTTTCAAGGAGCATTTGCGTAGCGGCCTGTGGGAGAATGCAAGAGGGAAATCTCTGTCTTGCTTTAAATGCCCTGGGCGGGTCCTTGCAGGTACCAAAGCACTGCCAGACTGCTGAAGTGGGTCCATGGGGCCATGGCAGCAGGCCCCAGCTCAGCTTAGTACCAGTGTAACCCCCAGCACCTTTCCCTTCTCTTTTAGACGGCCCCAAGAGAGGCTGGGCTTGTTTTGGAGCCCGGTACAGCAAGGCTGCAGTGCAGCAGCCACTCCTGGGTGGAGCCTTCACTCCCAGCCCTGGGAGCTGGGAGCATCACCCTCCATCTTCCTGCCCTGTGCCAGCTCAGTGATGCTCGTGCCCACTGCCACGGCCATGGTTTGAAGCTCCCACCTTTCCACACTGCAGGAATAGGTCCATTGTCATCAGGTTGGTAGGAAAGCTGGGAGCTGCCACCTCTCTGCCTGCTTGCAGGGAGGAAAACCTCCTTTTAACACAGAAATGCCGACTTGTCCCCAAGGGGCACTTTTCCATCAGGGAGGGAATATGGGATTCTGCAGCAGGCTAGTTCCCCCAATTTGGGGAAAGCTCATCAAGTCTTGGCACACCAAACAGTGAGGATCCCATCAGAACTACAGATGGTTGGTGCGTTCCTAAATGAAGAAGGACTCAGGACTGCAGGGATCAAGAGCCTTCCCCTCAAAGCAGTGGAAATAGAGAGCTTTAAGTTTTCCACTTTATTTTTTTGAGTTGTGTTTTCACTTTGGTGGACCCCAAACATTGTCCTGTTTGCTGGGCAGGCTTTGTGGTGAAACATGTGGAAGAGAAATGATGTTTTCCACTTGAGGGGCCTGTGTTTCCAACCCCATTTGGTCTGGCAGCAACCCAGGTCTGGGGTCTCACGGCATGTCCCCCCCTGCCCTTGCCAGGGCAGCGTTGGCACCTGGTGGGTGCACACAGTGGGAAAACCCAGCACTGCGCAGAGGAGGAGAAAGGATCTGCATGGCAGGGCAGCCAGCCAGCTTCTGCCAGGAACGGGTTAATGCTGGAACTCCAGCTCTGGTATCCTATTGCTGGCTACTTTGGGTAAAAGCTTTTTTGGCTCTGTTTCAAGGGCATCAGGCTGGAGGATGACTCATGCATCCCTGCCACCCAGGAGCAAACCCTCTTGTCCCTACTTTCTCAGCACAAGGTGATGATTTCCTGAAAATCCAAGTGCCCCAGAGGCCTCTGATCATGCCTTATAGGACTCTGCTCAGCTGGGCTGGGGAAAGCTGCATCTAGGACTTGCTTGTCCTGAGAGAGCTGTGGTGGTGACATCTCTGGCACGGGTTCAGATGCTTGTGTGGGTGTCCCCACGATGGGGAACTGTGGGGGGCACATTGTTGGAGGATGCTTTTGCTCCATAACTGACTCTCCTCCCTTTATTCCGCAGGGAAGGAGCTGCCCATCCAGCTGCAGCACCACCCTGCCAGATGTGCCTCCAGGCTGTGCTGCGCCTGCAGCCCGCTCCAGAGGTGAGGGGGCAGGAACAGCCCCACCCCGGGCCTGGGGCTGTCCAGGAGACCCTTGGGGTGATGGTGGCACGTTCCCCCCGGCACAGGTCACGCAGGCTGGTGGCCATTCCAGGCCGGACACTGCTGTGGGCATGGGGTCACGGCCGTGGGTATGGGGACGTCACCACTGTGGGCACCACCATGGAGTGGTCCCCTTTTACCCAGGTGATGATGTCCCTGCTGTCCAGTGTGCTCAGAAAAGGATAAAAATGAGACCTTTGGGCAATGGCAGTGGCTGAGGGCATCCAGGGAACATCTCCTTTTGTGCAGGCAGAAAATGGAGGGCTTGGAAAAAGTTTTGAGGTTTCAGGGTGGAGTAATTTCATATCAGGCAGCCTAATCCATCTCTGGAGTGACCCTGCTTGGGGTGGGAGCTGCGCCAGAGACCTCCAGAGATGCTCACTCACTCTGTGCCTCTAAACTTTGCTTAAAATGTAAAAACAATTCCCTATTTAAAGGCTTTTATTGGACTGATAACATGAAGGCAGGGCATGACAACATGAGCCCAGGGTATCTGGGAAATGAAGCCCTTCCCTGGCGCTGTGTGGGTCCATGGGACAGGCAAGCCTGTCCATGGTGGTTTCCTCTGTGACTCAGTTTCCCCAACTGGAAAACAGGTTTTTCTGGGGTTCCCTCAGGGAAATTTTGGGATTTTCCCCAAATCTCCCCTCCAGGACAACGGGATGCATTTGTGGGGGACTTGAAATTGCCTATTTTCACTGCATAGCTTGAGTGGCCATGATCCCCAGGGACACAGCAATGGCTTACCCTCTGTCCCAGGCCATTCCTTTGGATGTGCAGTGGCACTGGTGCTGTACTGCACTCGTGGGTATCACACCTCATGAGGGCTTCCCCAGGCTCTGCTGGCCATTCCTGATCCTCCATCTGAGAGGCAGGGTGCATTCCAAATCCAGATGCCGCACAGCCCAGCCTGTACTTTTCCTGGGCTGCAGCCTCCTCCTCCCAAGCGTTTCTGAGAGCTCTTGTGCCTGTCCTCATCAGCGCTCCCGCCTTGGAGTTTTCTGAGCAGGGCCGACAATATCCGGCGAGACATTTGTCCCTTGCAAGCACACAGGAGGAATTTTCCAGCCCTTAGGCAAGGGAAGAGGGAGCACAAGAAAGAAAAGAACACAACCCAGAAGAATGAAGGGTGGCATGAAATTTGCTGACCTTCTTACTTTCCGTGGCCTCTGGAGCAGAAGGAAAAATGAGTTGGAGAGGGTTGGCGCTTTGTGGATGGCCCCAGGAGCGGGACCAGGCTGTGCGTCCTTGGGCTGACCTGTGGTTTGGGGTCTTTGGGGCAGAAACACCTTTCTGAAGGACATGGGGTGATGTCCGTGGTGGGATCTGCTGTGGGGCTTTGGCATCGGCATGTTGTCATTCCTAGTCCTTCTGGGCATATCTGTGTTTTGGAGAGAGCGTGTTTGGCTCTCTTGATCTCATCCTGTGAACCTGGACTAACCCTCTCCAGTGGACCTAATCCTCCTCCAACAGTGAGGAAGGACCAGGGATTCCACTGTGGGTAATCCACCTCATCCCAGTGGCTGCTCCTCTGGCTTTCCACACGCACCAAGGACCTCTCAGTCTTGGCTGGAGAGCATTTTGGAAGTTTTAAGAGCTCACCAGATGTGGTTTTCCGCAGAGACACGCCAGCTGCTGCCCCTCCCTGCACAGGGCATGTACGGCTTAGCTCGATGTGACCTGAATGTCTGCTTGTCCCCAGACTGGGTCTCCACCAGGTACCCAAACTCCTGGTGCCTCCTCTGCCCTCGGGAGTGCTGTGATCCCTCTGGGTGTGCTGGGTGCTGCTGGGTTTGCCAGAGGAGGGAGGAAAAGGTGGAATGTTGAGGTTCCCCCCCATCGCCAACCGATTTGTCCTCTAGGAGATTAGTCCCTTCCCTGGCTTACAGGGGGATTTGTGGCTGCTCCATCTGCTCGAGCCCAGCAGGTGAGTGGGTGCCAGGGAAGAGCAGCCTGAACCCAGCTGCTGTTTGTACTCCCAGGCATCCCAGGGAAAGGGTTGCATCCTTCTTTTGGTCATTTCTGGCTATATTTGTTGGAAAGGAGCAAAAATCCCTGCAGCCAGGAAGGTGAAAGTCATGCTTGTAATGGGGTTTAGACCTGAGACTGTTCGCTGATGGAGGTGGTGAAAACCATGAGAAGTAATGTCACGGGTTTTTTAAGCTGCTTTTTAGGCTGGTGAAAAGCCTTGAGGATGCTCCAGGGTCTCCCCTTTCATCCAGGATACTTGCAGAGAGGTGCTTTCTCTGTAAATCCACTTGGCCTTTAGGAAAGCAGGCAGGCAGGTGGGGAGAAGAGCATTTTACTGTGGGTTTTGGGGGAATGGGGCTGTTTCCTGGCTCACAAGTACTTTTAGACCCAGGTTTTCCTGAGGAGAAAGCTGGGAGGCGGTTGGAGTGATACAGGGCACTCCCTACTCCTGCTCCATCGCTCCTGTCTTGTCACCAGTGGAAGGTGGTGGGTAGGGAAGAGGCTGGAGGTGAGTTACAGAAGAGCTTGTGACAAGTGGGCTTAGGGAGGCTGGATTTATAGGCACTGACAGAACTAGGTTTGTGGAAGCGTGGGGGGCTGAGGCATTCCTGAGTGCCATCCTGCTCCTGGGATGTGGAGACCACAGGATACAGGAAGCCTTTGCCCGTGCCCAGATCCCAGCCTAGAGCAGGTCTGGCATGCTGCTAGACCCAGGAATGTGCTCCCTGCCATGCTGCTGCCTTTTCCTGGGGTATGGGATGGCATGGGACCCTGCCAGACCACGCCACCCCCAGCTCCCATAAAGCACCAGTTTCTCTTTTAAGGTGACAGAAAAACACAAGCAGGGGAGATTTGGGCAGCGTGGATGAGCTGCTGAGATGTCAACCCCACAGCCATGGAGCTCAGCCAGCCCTGCAGCGCCGGGGGGCGACCACTGTTCTCCTTGCCCTGCTGTGTGGTCAGGAGCACCGATGGAGGCTGCCAGGTGTCAGCTTGGAAATCTTTTAACTTTTCCTCATCTCCACAAATGGACAGTGTCTCCGCTCATTAGGTACCCACCCAGGGGGCAGATGTCAGCTCTGCTCATGGCTTTTCTCAGCTCATCTCTGCCCATGCTCCTGACGGCTCTGCAGCGCTCAGGTTCCATCACGTCACGGGGCTCTGCCCGTGGGGCTGCGCCTCTGCCAGCTGGGCAGCGCCTCCCCTCTGATCCCCGCCCCGGGCTCGCTGCCTCCCTCTCCTTGTGGGCAAGGTTTGCAAGGATTTTTAGCTAAAAGGCTGGAAAACCTCAGGCACTGGTGACGCGGTGTGTGTGTGTGTGTGTGTGTGTGTGCGTGCTCGGAGCTGGATTTGGTTTTCCTCGCCCAGGCAACGCAGGGGAGGAGAAGGCAGCTCTGAAGGCTGCTCTTTGAGGCTGATGCATCCCGACAACTTGTTCACTGGGACATCACAATCGTTGCCTCTGTCTGCGTGGAGCACCCGGGCGGGCAGGTGATGGGAACACGGGTCAGGGCAGGATCCCTCTCTCCCTGCACAGGGAGCCCAGAACCCCAGAGCCACGCAGATCCTGGCAGTGTGGGGGCTGCTGCATCCCCAGGAGAGAGAAGGGGAGTTCCCTCCAGCACAGAGGGGGCTGGCAGCTTGGGGGTCAATGCAGATGGAGCCATCTCACTGGTATTCCTGCCTTTGGGGTATACTGTGGATCAGGGTTTGGTGGTGTGGTGGGAGAACATCCCCATCCCATCCCATCTCCAT